TGGGCTAACAAGGGACCCCTCCCCCAGGAGGTGGCATTGAGCTGAAGCAGGACTGGCCCCCTGAAGACTGGGAGCAGAAGGTCCCAGGCAGAGGGACCAGCAGAGGAGAAGATTTGGAGTGGGGACCAGCTTGGTGCACGTTCAGGAACGGAAAGCCACCCACAGGAGCGCCACACGCTCAGGAGACAAGGTTCAGGACGACCCTGCGAGAGGGGCAGAGGCCAGGTCACAGAGGGTCCGGGGGGATGATTTTGGTCACCATTCCATTTTGGTCCCTTTTATTATTATTATTTTAAATATCATTTTAATTGTGGTAAAATATGCAGAACACAAATTCACCATTGTAACCACTTTGAAGCTGCAGGTCTGTGGTCCTGAGCACACTCACGGTGCCACCACCCATCCCCAGGACCTTCCCRCCATCCCAGCGTTAGGTCGTCACTCCACACCGCCCCTCCTCCAGCCCCCTGAGACCCCAGCCTTGCTCCTCACAGGACGTCCAGCCCAGGAACCTCACATCAGGGGACTCAGGTAGTATCTGTCCTTTGGTGCCGGGCTCATTTGGATCAGAACTAGGTCCCCAAGGTTCATCCATATCCTAGTGGGCGTCCGAATCTCCTTCCTCTTCGGGTGGAGGCAGAGTCCATGATTTGCTTATCTTGTCACCCATCTGGGGACACTTGGGTGGCTTCCCCTTTTGACCCTTGTGACTAATGCTGATCTAAGCACGGGGTGCAGCCATCTGAGTCCTTTCGCTGGCTCTGGGAGTATCCCCAGGAGAGGAAACTGCTGAATCACTTCCAGTGGGATTGTCCACGCAGGGCCCCGGGAGGCCACCAGGGCCTGGCTGCAAGAGGAGGATCCCTCGGGCTGCCCTGAGGGTCCCTGCTTACAGTGGGGAGGGGAGGGAGAGGAGGAGACCCTGCAGAAGCCCCATGCGCAAGGGTCTGGGTGGGAGATGGCATTAGCTGGAAGCCTCCAGTCTGGCCTGGGGAGGCCACATGGAGCAGACAGATAAACAAATGGTCCCAGGAGGTGTAAGTGGAGCTGGGGTGGTAGGATTACAGGAAGAGGAAGACAAGGAAAACGGATTTCTCCGGCATCATTTTGATGCTGTTTACCTGATTCTCAGTCAACCATGCCGTGGGTGCTCAGAATTGTAATCCCAGGTGACTCTGTGGTCAGTGGCTGGGTTTGGCACCCCTGAGCCTCTTGGGCGAAGGTGTTGATTAGGACACAGGCACCCCAGAGTGGGGGGAAGGGGATTCCGGAGGCGGTTTGGGAGGTTTCCGGGTCTGACACTGCCACTGAGTGTTGGTGGCTAACAGGACGGCTGAGCTTTTTCTCTGCCGAATCCCAGTTGAGGGATTTGAGACAAGTGGCCAGCCCCCACCGATCCCCTGGTTTCTGTGCCTGGAAAATGGTAATTATTAGTTGGGTCGATCATCCACTTCCTCCTCCTCCTCCTTCCTTTTTTCGGGCAGTGCTGGGGATGGAGCCCAGAGCCTCAATCTCAGAGCCTCACGTGTGCCAGGCAAGCACTCGGTCCCCAAGCCACCTCCCCAGCTCCTCTTCCGTCAGGGGAGGGCAGGGACCTGTGTTTTGTTTACTACTGTGTCTATAGCCACGAACCCAGTACCCAACATTCGCAGGCCTGCGATACACATGTTCACCTTACTCATTTTTTTAAATAAAAAAAGTTAATCAAAGCCAGGTGTAGTGGTGCACACGGGCTGAGGCAGCAGGATGGCAAATCTGAGGCCGGCTAGGCAATTTCAAACAAAGGACTGGGATGTAGCTCTGTGGGTGAGCGAGGCCCCGGGTTCCATCCCCAGCACCCCATAAACACACACACGAAAATTGATCAAGGTGTACCTTTTACGGAGCAAAGTACAACCTTATGGGTCAGACTCAAAGCATTCTACTCATTTTTTGTGACACTGGGGATTGAACCCAGAGCCTTATGTGTGTCTGGCAAGTGCTTTTCCGCTGAGCTACACCCCCACATTTTTTTTTTTTTAATTTTGAGACAAGGTCTTCAGCTGGCCTCAAACTTTTGAATCTCCTTCCTCAGCCTCCCAAGTAGCTGGGATTCCAGGTGTGTGCCACTGTGCCTGGCTGTAGTCATGTTTCCTTTTTCTTTTTTTGTGATGCAGGGGATTGAATGCAGGGTCACTCTACCACGTAGCCACCTCCCCAGCTCTTTTTATTATTTTGAGACAGGGCCTCACTAAGTTGCTGAGGCTGGCCTTGAACTTGCGATCCTCCGGCCTCGGCCTCCTGAGTCACTGGGATTACAGATGTCAGCCACCTTCCCCAGCTCAATGCATTTAAAAATACTTAGGAGTAAATAAAAAAATATGTATATGTGTGTATATAGAGATATATATTAAAAACCATGAGGGGGGGTTGTGGCTCAGTGGTGGAGCTCTCGCCTAGCACCTTGAGGCACTGAGTTTGATCCTCGGCACCACATAACAGAAGTAAATAAAATAGAGGAATTGTGTCCATCTAAAATTTGAAAAAGAAAAAAAGGAACTATGTAATTACTACCAGATCAAGTGATGGGCCAGCGCTATCTCCTTAGCAGGGTCTCTCGCACCCTTCCCCGGTCCACATCCCCAATGACAACCATCACATCATGTTAGTTTTGCCTGTTCTCAAACATCGTCTGAACGTTACCGTGAGAAATGTGCTTTCTCCCATCTGCCTGCTCTTGCTCCATATTAGGCTTTGGAGATTCACACACACACACACACACACACACACTCCTGCTGGAACATTTTTTTTGTGGACGTGTTTGGGTGGACATAAGCACCCTCCCGGAGAGGATGGAAACTGCTGTGTCACCCTGTAGTTGCACATTTAGCTTCGGTAGAAACTGCACAGATTTTATTGCAAAGGAGTTGACTTTGCGTGTCTGCGATGACTAATGGAGTCGAAGGGATTCCCATATTGCCCAATTAAAAAAAAAAAAAACAACAACGTATTGAAAGAATGAATGAATATAGAGGATGAGAACCGAAATAAATCCAGCCTCGCCACTCGTCCTGCCTAAACTCCATTCCTAGCTCCCTATTGCCCCCCCAGGCTAGTGGCCAACAGGATCCTGCCTGCTGTGGCCCCTCCCACCTGTCCCAGGCTGAACCCTTCCCTGTCCCTCTCTGGGGCTCCTGTCACGCCCATGGTGCTTGGTTTCCTTCAAGAACCTTCTGTTTCCTGGCTCTTCCATGAGCTCCTTTGGTCTTGATCACGGAACACAATCCCAGACTCATTTCTTGTACTTAGCTCCAAAACCCTTTCCTCCAGGAAGTCTTCCTGATTTCCACCCCTAGCACACCGGGGCTCCTTCAGGCTCGGTTAGGTTCACTTTTTCTTCCTAGCTCTTAACCACAGTTGTCAATACAATTCCTTTACCCGATTATTTGACTAACATATCTGTTGCTTTATGTAATACTCCAAACATAACCAAGACACAACTCTTTAAGTTCTTTAAGAGTTTGAAAGGTTCCTAACCAAACACCAGGCATACCGGGCGGGATGGCACATGCCTGTCATTCCAGAGACTCTAGAGGCTAAGACAGAGGATGTAGGTTGGAGGCCAGCCTCAGCAACTTTAGTGAGACCACATCTCAAAATGAAAGTAAATAAATAAAAATGAGAATAAATAAATAAACTCAGTGTTAAGGTGCCCCTGAGTGTCATCCCCAGCACCCAAGCCAAAATAAGACATCAGGCATTTACTAGATGGTCAATAAATAGATGCTGACTGTATTCACGTTGTAGTAACAGCACAGGGAGGATAGTCACCTGCAAGTCATTATTTCTTAGGAAACTCACTCTGAGGGGGACCTGGGTCAATACAAAACTCCACAGAAACCCGATCTCCTTTCTCCCTCCCCTGACCAGATCCTTTAGGGGGTCCCAAGTGCAAATCTGGTTCCTGTTTCACTGGCTGCAGCTGTTCTGTGTGTGTGTCATAGAAGCTGCGCAGGGGGCAGGGGAGGGGAAGGGCTTTGCTGGAATCACAGGACGCCCACCTCCCAGGCCTCACCCTCAGCTCCTCTGACTGTTGGCGGCCTGGGGACTGGGGCAGTTGGGAGGGGACATGGCAGAATGTGACCATGATGCATTTCCCCCTCCCCAACCAGACCCCCTCGGTTACAAGGTGCGTTTTAGTCACTTCCCTGACAAACTACTCTGCCTCCCTGGGCCTCAGTCTGCTTATCTGCAAAACGGGGAAACTCACAGGCCCCACCCCATGGGCTGTAGTGTAAGTGACAGTGACTCCAGGTGAATTGCTGAGCACAGGCCTTGGGCTAGTTATTATCACATCCTTAGGCCTCAGTTTTATTGAAGATAAACAACCCTGTTATTTCCTGGGTGGAATTCAGAGTGCTGCAAGGCAGGTGTGCTTCACCCACAGGTGGGGGGCCACAGGTGTTTGCAATGGAGATCAGCGTCCTGGGGCCAACTTTCACTGCCTGCTGACTGGGTGACCTTGAGCCAGTCACTTCGCCCCCTCCCCCGGCTCCAGCCTCAGTTTCCCCACTAGGAAGGGGTCGGTGGACGGGAGTCTGCACTTCCTGCTGTCCGTCTTGCGGCCAGCTGCCCCGCTGGGGTCCTGCGGGCTGAGAAGGAGGTGACCCTGGCAAAGCCACGGGGCACCTGGTTCTCTTCCTGCACCGAGGGGAAGTGGTAACGGCGAGGGTCGAATCAGGACGCAGCCGGCGGCTCCGCTGGCCCCGGGCTCGCACACGTGACCCCCGGTTTCCATGACGGTCCTCGCGGCGCGCGGGGCGGGCGTGGCTGGCGCCGGGGTCCGGCCGCGCTGCCCACGCGCGCGCCGAGGGAGCGGGCGCCGGGGCGGGCGGGGCGCGCGGGCGAGGCGCACGGGGCGGGGCGCCGCTCGCATCCCGGTGACGCGGGCCAACCCGGCGGCGTTGCGGCTCCGCTCGCTCTTGCGCCGCCGCCCTCCGCCGCCGCCGCCGCCAGCCGGGCCCGTCCGCGCCCGCCCGGTGCCCGCGCCGCCGCCCGCATGGCGCTCCGCGGCTTCTGCAGCGCCGACGGCTCCGACCCGTTCTGGGTAGGTGCTGGGCCGCCGCGCGCGGGAGGAGGACGAGGGGACGACCCGGAGGGGCCGGCGCGGCGGGCGGGGCCGGGCCCGGGACGCGCGGCCCGCGGTCCCCAGTCCCCAGCCCCGCGCCCGCCGCCCCGGGCCCCCCGCGGGGTGAACTCGGGCCGCCCGGCGCCGGGCACGGGCTCCGTGGGGAGCTGGGCGGCCGAGCAGGGGGCCTCCCCGCGCGGGGCGCCTCGTGCAGTTACCTTCCAGGAAAGGGGACGTGGGGATGGATGCCGGGAGGCCAGGGGGCGGCTTACCTTGCCCTCCCACCTACCTCGTGGTCTGGGGGCCCCCCTTTCGCCCCAACCCCCCATTCCTGAGCTGGGGAAGGGCACAGGCTGTAGAAAGGAACTTCCCACTGGTGGCGCCGGGGCTCCCCCCCCCCATGTTGCTTTACTCCGTGTCACTCTCTCTAGTTACTTGTGTTTGTCCTGGTTTCCTTCCTTTCTGCCTAAGCTCAGGGCAAGTTTAGGGGAACAGGAGAAAGACCAGGGGAGGAGGAGGCTGACCTGGCATGTGCTGCTTGACCCTGGGGTCAGGGTTGGGGTGTCCCCCAGGATGCCCAGGACCCGGGTTTCTGGGGTGAGCCTCCTCTCTGGGGATGCGGGGGGCTCTACCCCTAGCTGGGGAGTGTTCTGAAATGTGAAGGGCTGGCCCTAGCTAGCTGGCTTCCCAGAGTCCACTTTCTTGGTTTAATCCCCAGCACTTGGGGCTTTAGGGTCACTGTAATGCGATTTGCCCCCTGGTTCCAGGAGCGGTCTTCTGTGACCTCCTGATTGGTAAACACCATGGGCAAATCTGGACACAATCTTTTGTTTTGTTTAGGAAAAACACCCTTGGCTCACAGGAGATGGCGATTAGCACCCACAAATGCTCTCTTGTCCTGTTGTATGGTCTTTTCCTGAGGGTTGAAAAGTCCCCCTCAAGGGCCCAGGGCAAGACTTTGTTCTTTGGGGGGGGGTGTCATTTTGGTTGAACAATCAAGTGCACTTTTGAGGTGTCATCTTAAGCCACAGGAGTTGGAGATGATGTATCTGCTCCAGGGCTAGAGCTGGCACCTGGTGTGGGATGGGCTGGAGGCCATTGGCATTGGAGTCTCTTGAGCAGAGAGAAACACCTGTGGGTCCCTGTGACCCAGGTGTAAGGGCAGCAAGATATTTATGCAGGTCTCCACAGGGGACCTGGTGTAGCTCCGAGTCCTGGAGTATTTCTTGTTTATTTTCTCCTGCGTTAAGGTGGGGGACGGAGGTGCCTGCTGACCAGTTTCTATCAGGACGGGTCTTATGGAAGGTTCCTGGCAGTGGGTGGCTAATGTTGGCAGTATCCTGTGTCCTGTGATTACTTAACTAAGAAGCCCATCCAAGAAGCCCAGTTGTTGTTTGTTTTGTTTTGTTTCTTCCGAGGACTTTTTTGCTACAGAAATTGTCAGAGGGTCGGATGTACCTAGGTGGTTGGCCCTCACCTCTGAGAGGCCTTTGCGCCTTCCTGTCTCTTGGCCTGGCGGACTCCCTCTGCCCCTCCTCCCTCTGGATCCTTCACCTGCTGGATGCCCCAGATTCTGGAGGTGCCCTGGAACCAGAGTTGGCGAGTGGGCGGCTAGCCTCAGGAAGTGCCAGTCGCAGGAGTGGAGTGCCATCCAGAGCGGCTGGCTTGGGTCTCCCAAGGTGGCATGCATGCTCCATGCTGGGAGATGCCCGTGTGACCCTGAGAAGCCACTGTGTCACTCCCTGCCTCCGTTCCCTCATCTGTAAAATGGGGCCCACAGACACCCCAACCTCCTAGGTTGCTGGGACCAGCAAAGGAGCTGGTCCAAGAAGGAGCTGTTTCCTGTTCCTGTCCTTCCTGGGGACTCCCTGGGGGTGTGCTGGGCCCACTCATCAAGGTCCTGGGCCATGTGGGACTGTCTTGGAGCCTGGGCCCGTGTCCGCCTCTGTGCCCCTGAAATGTCCAGGCTTTCCGCGGCTGCGCAGGCTCACCACCATGGGAGGAGAGGACTCGAGTTATCTACGGGAACAAACAGGGCTGAGTTTTTGGTACTTGGCTTGTTTTTTCCCTGGAGGGTGGCGGTGAGGTTTGGAGCCGGTGTTTGATGGTTGGATTAATGTCCAGGGTATCTCCTTGGCAAGGCCTTTCTTTGGTACTGGGGATTGAACCCGGGGTCCTTAACCACTCAGCCCCATCCCCAGCCCTTTTTTTGTATTTTATTTAGAGACAGGGTCTGGCTAAGTTGCTTAGGGCCTCGCTCCGTTGCTGAGGCTGACTTTGAACTGGCCCCTGGGATGACCGGCGTGTGACACCAGGCCTGGCCATTCTCAAGTCAGTTTTTAAAATCCATGCACTAGGGTGTTTCATGCTGAGGGTAGAAAAATTGGAAAAATACAGAGGAACGGAGAGAAGCCCAGCCCCGGTGTAGCTCGGTGGCCTGGAGCTGACGCTCGTGCACCTTGCGCTCAAATCCTGGTTCTGTAGCTGAGGCCAGTTGTGTCCCTGACAGTGCCTCTGTCGGTCCCCCTGTGGGTGAGCCGTGGTGATTCGGGGTGTGGTCAGCGTGCCCTGGGCAAGCTGTCTCACTGTGGCTGCTTGCTCTGTAGTTGGCGCTCCCTGGGTGGCAGTGGTGGCCACCCAGTGGAACTCGGGTGGACTTTGGCCACAGCATGGGCTGGGTGGCGGAGTGAGTTGGTCCTGGGGTGGAATCTGCTCTGGGAACCTCTGAGCGGGGTGGGGACATCCCAGCAGCTGCTAGAAGTTCCTCTTGGGGTGACAAGTGGCAGGATGGCTTCCACACTGTCTTCCCACCTCGTCCCTCTCCTCCCCCTGCGGGTCCTCCTCCTGCCACGCTCCCCCTCCCTCCCTGTGATTGCTAGAGTGGGAGGGGACCCCAGGACTGGTGTGGTCCTGCCCCTGCTCACCCCTCTGCGTGGATGTTGGATCTGAGGCCTGGCCTGGGGAGTCCCAGCTGGGCAGGGCGCGTGCTGACCCGGGGCTCCAGAAGGAAGGCCCAGCAGCCCATTCGGCTGAGACCCTCAGAAGACCTTGAACTGGGCCACTCCTTGGCTGCAGTCTTTGGGGCACCTCACCTTTGGGACGTGCTGGTGGGTGACACTCCCCTTCCCACTCATGGACTTTTGGGATCTGGTCTCTCCCCCTGGGTGACTCGGGGCATCCCTGCCTCCAGGTCCCAGAGCAGCTCCCCGGCCCTCCCCATGTCCGTGACGGGGGCCGAGTCCGCCTAGACACTGGCCAGGAGCTGCAGTGTCCTTGACTCCTCCGACTGGCCTCCCTTCCATATCTGACCCCCCAGCAGATCCCGCTGCCTGTTGTTCAAAATGTATCCAAATCGGCCTTGTTCTCAGGCCTCCTGGGCCACCGTGCTGTCCTGAGCCACCCAGGGCCACTTGCTGGATTGTACCCTCACCTCTGCTCTTCTCCCTCCCTCCACCTCTGCAGTCCAGTCTCAGCCTGGCGGCCAGAGGGATGCTGTCCATCTGCTGTTGAGAGCTCTGCAGTGGGTTTCCAGGTCCCTCAGGGTAGAGGGAGAGGACTCACTGGGCAGCCAGGCCTGCTCTGCCTCAGGGCCTTTGCAGATGGCTTGGAATGCTCCCTGCCTTCCCGGTCTTCTTTGGAGGTTGCCTTGGGTGGCCTTTTTCCTCACCCCCCCCCACTTCCCTGCGTGCTCACTTCTCTGCCCCCTCGTCATGGCTCTGTGGCCTTCTCATATCTGAAGTTTTTACTCACTGTGCTTACTCTGTACACGCCCACCAAAGGGTCCACCTCACCCCCGGGGTTCACAGCAGTGATCCCAGCTCCTGGGTACTCAGCAAATGTTTGTTAATTGAATAAACGACCTAGAGCTCTAGAATGGCTTTGGAGCAGCCCAGAGGGCCTCTCCGGGGTGTTGGGGTGCAGCAGTCTCTCCTGTCTGGAGTGGGTGCTCAGACCCAGCCCTGGGCTCCCACATGAGGCTCCTTCTACTTTGTCTTGCAAGAGTCCAGACAGGGTTGTGTCCAGCTGTTTCCGGGTGTCTTGCACACAGTAGGCCCCATCGGCCCGTGAACTTGAGCAAGCGTCTCGGCTCTGTTCCGGGCCGGGGGTGGACCTAGCCCCCCGCTGGCTTGGCTTATTTTAGTGGTATGAATTGTTGTGATTTCTGGGGTTTCCTTTTTGGACGATTTCACAGGCCTGTGTGGACCTCTGGCTTCTCCTCGGGGTCAGGAGGCCCCTGGGCCACGGGCCTGGCTGGGGCTGCCCCCTGCTCCTGGTGGCTGGCTTGCCTCCCTGGCACCTGTTAGTATTTGAGTCGGCATCTCCTGTTTTGTAGCCCAGCCGTTTGGCGTCGGGGCTGGGGCCCGTCTGGCTACCTAGAGAGAAAAGAAAAAACGGTTTCATTTGTATTTTTTTGTGGTGCTAGGGATGGAACCCAGCGCCCGTCGGTGCGTCAGGTGCTCTACCCGGGCCACACCCCCAGCCCCGATGGCCCTGCATCTGGCCCCCTGGTGTCCCTGTGGGCCCTGGCTTGGGTGTTCGTGGTGGGGGTCAGGCTTGGCTTTCACCCTCAGGTCTTAAGGGTCAGCCAGACTCCGGCTCCTAAAAAAAGTGGCCTGAATGTTGTTTGCAAAACTAAAGAAATGGGTTGGGGCAGTAAGGACCGCAGAGCCTCCCCAGCCCAGGGAGGGCGAGGGCGGGAGGGCTGCTGTGCCGGAGCCCAGGGCCAGCGCTGGCCGGTCTTCTGAGGACAGGCACGTGGGCGGGAGGGCGGCAGGAGCCAGCTCCTCAACCTTGGCCCTGTTGGCTGCCGGGAGGTTGCTCCCTGGTGTGGGAGTCGTCCTGTGCCCCGGGGGGCCAGCCACGCCCGTGTCTGCCCACTGGACAGTCAGGACAACTAGGAATGGCCCCAGGCAGTGCCAGGTGTGCAGTCCCTTGGTGTGGGGGACACGGGGAAGTTGGGGGCCATCTGGGGCCTCGTT